CATCCTCACCACCTTCACTGACCCCACCACGGTCATCTGTCCGTGCTGTGTCAGTCCATCCTCACCACCTTCATCCTCCCTGTGACCCTCATCCTCACCACCCTCATCTTCCCCACCACACCAGTCTGTCTCCACTGTCTCACTGACTGTCTGTCATCCCCACCATCCTCATCATCCTCACCACCTTCACTGACCCCACCACGGTCATCTGTCCGTGCTGTGTCAGTCCATCCTCACCACCTTCATCCTCCCTGTGACCCTCATCCTCACTACCCTCATCTTCCCCACCACACCAGTCTGTCTCCACTGTCTGTCATCCCCACCATCCTCATCATCCTCACCGCTTTCATTGACCCCACCACGGTCATCTGTCTGTGCTGTGCCAGTCCCTCCTCACCACCTTCATCCTTGTCACCACGCCCATCCTCCCCACCTTCACTGTCCCCAGCACCTCCATCCTGTCCCATCTCCCAGCCCCCCACATCCCCCCCGATGTCCCCGTGCCCGCGGTGGTGGCGGGGCGGTGACGTGACCCCACGTGCGTGCCTGTGCGTCCCCAGAATCCACACCGGCGACAGACCCTACAAGTGCCCCCACCCCGGCTGCGAGAAGGCCTTCACCCAGCTCTCCAACCTCCAGGTCAGTGCGGGGGGCCTGGGGCAGGGGGGCGGCACCGAGGGGTCCCCCCAGCCCTGCCTGACCCCCCCCGTGCCCCCCCAGTCCCACCAGCGCCAGCACAACAAGGACAAGCCCTACAAGTGCCCCAACTGCTACCGGGCCTACACGGACTCGGCCTCGCTGCAGATCCACCTGTCGGCCCACGCCATCAAACACGCCAAGGCCTATTGCTGCAGCATGTGCGGCCGTGCCTACACCTCGGTGAGCACGGGGGGCACCCCGGACCCCCCCCCGGAGCCCCCCGGGCCCCCCTGACCCCTGTGCCCCTTCCCCAGGAGACCTATCTGATGAAGCACATGTCCAAGCACACGGTGGTGGAGCACCTGGTCAGCCAGCACTCGCCGCAGCGCACGGAGTCCCCCGGCATTCCCGTACGGATCTCCCTCATCTAAGCGGGGAGGGGGGGTGGCAGCAGGACCCCCCCAGCACGAGGAGGAGGAGGAGGAGGAGGAGGAGGAGGACGAGCCCCCCTGGCGCCGCGGGCCGTGCCCCCGCAGGTTTGGTGACACCCAAAGACGGTTTCAGAGCACTTTGAATCTCTGCGGTTTGGTTTTATTTTTGGGGGGAGGCGGAGGGGGGAGGAGCGGTCGGGGTGGGGGCGTCCCCCCTGCCCCCTGCCAGACCCCCCCATCCCCCCCCCATTT